TTGTTGATAAATCGTCCACCAATCCTGACCCCACATTTCTCCTCATAGAGCCCAGCCTCCTGGATAATCTGTTCTGCATATAGGTTGAAGAGGTATGGAGATAGGATGCATCCCTGGCATACGCCCTAGTTAAAAAAAACAAAAACAACCACAAAAAACTAAAGACTTTCTTGTCCTTTTGGCAATCCATGGGATATTCAGTACTCCTCTCTAACATCACAATCCAAGGGCATTGATTCTTCTTCTGTCATTCATAAATTTATTGTTAGATTCCATCGAGTATTATTATTTGGACCCTATGAACAACATATCTGACCCTATCCTATGCTGTGCCATCCTCAAAGTCTCTGACATACATGATCATTGCTGCAGTGGTGACTGCAGTGGTGATGCATTCCAATCCATCTCATTGAAGGTCTTCCTTTCTCTAGCTAAACCTATACCTTTTTGAGCTGTCCTTTTCCAGGAATAGTCTCTTCTAGCAACATGCCCAAAATATGTGAGATGAAATGTTGTCATCCTTGACTCTAAGGAGCACTTTGGCTGTACTTGATCGAAGATCCAGCTCTTTGTTATACTGCTGATATGACTGCTGGTGTTGACTGTGGATCCAAGTAAGATGAAATAATTGACAATTTCAACCTTTTTCTCCATCTGTCATGATACTGCTTATTTGTCTAGTGGTGAGGACTTTTGTTTACTTGAATGCAATCCATATTGAAGTCTGGCCTTTGATCTTCTTCAGCAATTGTTTTAAGTCCTTATTTTTCAGCAAGCAAGATTGTGTCATCTGTATAACACAGATTGTTGAGTCTTTCTCCAATCCTGATGTCACATTCTTATTCACGAAGTCTAAAATCTTGAATGATTTGCATTAGACTGAATACCATACATCTAGAAACTTTTTGTTGTTATGTGCTCTCAATTTGACCACAACTCATAGTGAATCTATGAGAAATGGTTCTGAACCTTGCCCTTATCCTAAGCCTGTGTCACCATCACTTACTCACCTGACCCCATTGCCACAGTTACTGTATCAATCCATTTTATTCAGGGTTTTCCTCTCCTGTGCTGATCCTCCACCCTTCCAAGCATGATGTCCTTCTCAGACAACATACTCAAATTATGTGAGATGGAGTAAAATATCTTTGCCTCCAAGGAGCAACCTGGATCCAGGATCTATCTTGTCGCTTGCCCGTATGGCCTCTTGTCCATATATTGTTCAATATACTCTTCTCCAGCACCACAACTCAAAGGCAGTGATTCTTCTTCTGCATTCTTAGTCATCGTCCAACTCTCAGATACACAGCAAGCAGTTGGGAAGATCATGTACTAGATCAGGTGCACCTTAGTCTTTTAACTGATGCTGTTGCTCTGTAGTACTTTGAAGAAGTCCTTGACAGCAGATTTTCCTAGTGCAACTCATCTTTTGATTTCCTGACTGTTGGTGCCAGTGGTGTCCATTATGAATTGTAGCATGATGAAGTTGTTAACAACTTCAATATTGTCCCCCTCTGTAATATGCAGATGATACAGCCCTGCTTGCTGAAACTGAGGAGGATCTGAAACACTTGCTGCAGAGGGTCAAGGGCTGCAGCCTCCAATATAGATTGAGGCTCAATATCAAGAAGACAAAGATTCTCACCGCTGGGCCAATTGGCAGCATCAGGATGGATGGTGAAGAGATTGAGATTGTTCACAGCTTCAGTTTGCTTGGCTCCACAGTCAACACTCTCAGCACCAGTAGCCAGGAAATTAGAAGACGTAGTGTGATGGGAAAGTCTGATGTTAGGGACCTCTCCAAAGTACTGAAGAGCAACAGTGTCTCTTTGGAGACGAAGGTGCATGCATCTGATACAGGCCATGGTCTTTGCTATGCATCAGAGAGTTGGACAATGACCAAGGAGGATAGAAGGAGAACTGAGCCTTTGAGCTGTGGTGCTGGAGAAGAGTATTGAGGGTACCATGGACTGCTAGGAAAACAAACAGATTCATCCTGGAAAGGGTCAAACTGGGCTGCTCCTTGGAGGCAAGGATTCTATGGCTCCGTCTAACATACTTTGGAATGTTGCAAGGAGGGACAGGTCCTTGGAGAGGGACATCATGCTTGGTAGGGTGGAGGGACAGCGCAGAAGGGGAAAGCCCCCTATGAGGTGAATTGATTCAGTGACTGGGGTAATCAGGATGGGTGTTTTGGAGAAGGTGCAATTGGCACAGGACAGAGCAGAGTTTAGGGCTGTTGTACATAGGGTCGCTATGAGTCACAAGCGACTCAATGGCACATAACAACAACAACATTGGCCTGGTGGTGAGAATTTTTGTTTTCTTGATGTTTAGATATAATCCTTATTGAAGGATCTTCTGCAGCAAATACTTCAAGTCTTCCTTAGCAAGGTTGTATCATTTGCAGAATGCAAGTTGCTGATAGTCTTCCTCCAATCCTGATGCTGTATTCTTCTTCATAAAGTCCAGCCTCTAAAATGAGCTGTTCAGCATATAGATTAAAAAGATATCAAGAAAAGATATATCCCTCATGCACTCCTTTCTTGAATTTGAACTATGCAGTGATCTGTTCAGACTATGACTTCTTGGTCTAGGTATAGGTTTTTCATAAGCACAATTAAGTGTTTTAGGATTCCTGTTCTCCTCAATGTTAGCCACAGTTTGTTGAGATCCACACAGTCAAATGCCTTTGCATAATCAATAAAGCACAAATAGACATCTTTCTGATTTCAGCCAAGATCTATCGGACATTAGCAATGATATCCCTAGTGCCACAGCCTCTTCTAAACTCTGCTTGCATTTCTGGCAGTTCTCCGTTGATGTACTATTCTAGTCAACTTTTGGATAATGTTCAGCAAAATTTTGCTTGCATGTGACATTGTTCAGTAATGTCTACATTCTATTGGATCACCTTTTTGAGAAATAGGAATAAATATGGATATCTTCCACTCATTTGGCCAGGTATTTCTCTTCCAGATTTCTCAGCACAGCCTGATGAGCACATCCAAGGATACATCTGTTTGTTGAAACATGTTAATTGGTATTCCATCAGTTCTTGAGGTCTATACTGTCAATTACTTGTGACTCATAACAACCCTATGTACAACATCTCTAAACTCTGCCCTATCCTGAGCCAATCTCACTGTCTCTGACACAACTACTCCCATTATCCCAGTCATTGTCAGATCATTTCTTAATCTTCTTTGGATTCTCTGTAGTTCCTAGCATAGCGTCTTACTCATATTACAGAAATTATTTTACTTTCATTAATGATGATTTTATTTCTTGCCTAGTTTGTGAATGAGAATTATTCTTAAACTATTTGGAAAGGAATTCTCAAATCAAGACTATCTGTGTTCTTTTCTAAGAACCTTCGTGTCACTATCT